CACACTAATTTCTTGCCCCATGATATCACTGCTTACTTAACTCTGAGGTTCTCTTTTTCCACAATATGGGTAATTCCGTGGCGACCTCTTCTTCAGCGACTGGCCAGTCCTATTCTCTAAGCAGTGTCCACCACAAAAAGCCTCCGTGCCTTAGCTCAACATCGGGCGCCAACTGCCTCGGCCTGCGGGGTTTTTCGACGTAACCTAAGGCAGAGGAGTAGGGATTGAGGAGAGACAAGAGACGTGAGAAATGAGGACAAGACGGGTTTCCTGATAAAGTCCCAATTTATTGAACTTTTTCACATCCTTATATAGGGAACTGCCTAGGTCTCTAATGTAGACCGGGCTGCTACAGAAACCCAGCCCCAAGATAGCAGTTTACAATAGGAAGGGGGGCACGCCCCAAGGCATTGAATTACAAACACTGATCTAGTGGTAAGCAGTTTCCCAGAGATGGGCAGGGCAGCCGCTGCATGTCAGAAGTATGTAAAATGAAGTCCACAGACAGAAAGTGTTGCTCGTGCCAGAGCCAGGACCCGCTCAGGGTGGCTTCCCACAAGGATTGCAGTGCAGCTTCTTGCCACTAGGCCACCAGACCTCACCATGACACTCTGTTCTGTCTCTGTGTGTACGTGTGTATACATATACTTACACACACGGAGAGAAGGGAGTGTCATGGGAGATGTGGCCAGTATTACAAATATGCACTTAGACACACTCACGCACATGTGCATACTTGTGCACACACATATACACACACACAGAGAAGGGAGTGTCATGAGGGTGTGGTCGACATCCTAAATATATACGAAGACATGCACACACAGGTCTAGCAAAGGTCTCTTGCTTTTCCCTTAATCTGGATCTTGTGACTAGCTTGTCACCTGCAGCTTTTGGATTGCCTTTGCTTGCCAGTCTTGACTTCATCACTCTCTGTAGCTATGTGAGTCAAAAGAAACCTCTCTCCTGAGGTCTGACTGAAGCTGGCATTTTCCAGCAGTTTGTTAAATGTGTCATTTCTTTGAGATAATGTCTCTCTCTATATAACTTTTATTCTTTTGCCTCTCTAGAGAGCCCAGCCTAAGATGGCACCTAATAATAGGAAGAACTAGATTCTGAGCTACCAGAGGCCCACCTATGTATCTATCTAGTCTCTGTGCTTTATCACCTCCCCCAGGGAGATGTTCACTACATATTAATAGAAGCTGAGTATGATAGGGGGAAGGGGGATGACAGATGCCACCCAAGTACACAGAGAGTAGTACTGTGCCCTGATGTTTTGTGGTTAATTCCAGTAACCTAAGCCAGATTCCATTCATATAAAATGGTAGCAGACAGTCTTTGTGCCCCAGGCAAGACAAAACAATGTGATACCATCACTAGGGTAATGATGGTTTTATTACAACATTCTAAGGAAGCAATTTCCAGACTAGGATCTATCTCTCCAAGCAAAGGCACTAAAAATGGGCAGACTGAGCAGAGGTCATGTGATTGACCAGGGGACATGTGGGCAAATAGGGACCAGATGGATGAGCAGATATGGGAAACAAGTTCACCAGTAGGGAGACAAGTGGAGGAACAAGGGACAGGTGGGTGAGCAGGGGACAAGTTAGTAGAATAAGCCGGTGGTAGACAAGCAGGTGATATGATAGTATACCTAGAAAACCTTAAAGACTCAGCAAGAAAACTATTGGATGTAGTTGACCAATTCAGCAAAGTAGCAGGATACAAGATCAGCATACAAAAATGAGTTGGATTTCTCTACAGTGACAAAGAAAATACAGAGCCTGAACTAAGAAAAACAATACCCTTCACAATAGCGAATCACAAGATAAAATATTTGGGAGTAAATCTAACCAGAAGCACAAAGGATCTATTTAAAGAAAATTACAAAACATTACTACAAGAAACAAAAAGAGACCTGGAGAAGTGGAAAAATATCCCTTGCTCATGGATAGGAAGACTCAATATTGTGAAAATGGCAATACTATCAAAGGCAATTTACACGTTCAATGCAATCCCAATAGTAATAACAATCCCATTCTTCAAGGAGATGGAAAAGGTAATCTCCAGTTTAATTTGGAATGGAAAGAAGCCCCAAATAATCAAAGCACTCCTTAAAAATAGAAAAAAGGTAAGAGACATCTCACTCCCTGATTTCAAATCCTACCACACTGTCGTGGTGGTTAAGACAGCATGGTACTGGTACAATGACAGACACATAGATCAATGGAATAGAATTGAGAACCCAGAAATCAGCCTATCTACATATGGTCAACTGATTTTTGACAAGGAAATGAAATCAGTTAAGAGGGAAAATGACAGCCTTTTAAACAAATGAAGTTGGCAAAATTGGAAAAATATCTGCAGAAGACTCAAGCAAGATCCACACCTCATTCCATATATGAAAACCAACTCAAGGTGGATCATGGATCTAGGACTAAAACCAAGGACTATAAACTTCATTAAAGAACAGCTTGGAAGAACTCTAGTAGTACTAATCCACAACATAAATAGTCTTCCAAGTATCCTGAAAAATCTACAACCAGGAGAAGATAAAATAGATGAATGGGACCTTCTAAGAATCAAATCCCTACGCACATCCAAAAACTTCTCTAACAGGGTAAAAAGGCAAGCCACAGACTGGGAAAAGTATTTGGTAATGACATTTCAGATAAGGGACTTATATCTAGAATTTATAAAATACTTGAGCACCGCAACAAGATAAAGGTAAATAATCCAATTGAAAAATGGGCACAGGATATGAACAGACACTTCACCAAAGAAGACATTCAGATGGCCAACAACCACATGAAGAAATGTTAAAAATCCCTAGCTCTAAGAGAGATCCAAGTCAAAACCACTATGAGATATCATCTCACCCAGTCAGAATAGCAAAATTTAACAGAACAGCAAGCAAAAAATGCTGGTGAGGTTGTGGAGAGACTGGAACCCTTATTCACTGTTGGTGGGAGTGTCAAATGGTGCAACCACTGTGGAAGGCGGTATGGCGCTTTCTCAAAAAGTTGCAAATAGAGATACCATTTGACCCAGCAATTCCACTACTGGGAATATATCCCAAAGAGACCATAACTCGCATCCAGGCAGATATAAGCACACCCATGTTTTTCGCGGCTCTGTTCACAATAGCAAGGAGTTGGAAACAACCCAGGTGCCCATCAACAAATGAGTGGATAGAGAAGCTGTAGTATATTCACACAATGGAATACTACGCTGCATTGAAAAACAAGGAACTCATGCAATATTATTCAAAATGGGTGAGCCTGGAGGACATTATGCTGAGTGAAATATCTCAGTCGCAAAAGGATTTGCATGGTGCCACTGTTGTCAGGGTTGGGGTAAGACTGAGAAAAACTGGATAACATGTGTATACTGCACTGAAACAGATGAGGGAGTGAATAATTTAAAAGCGATGTATGATAGTGTATTATGGTTATCACAAGAGACCACAATTAAGGTTGCATAGTGGAATATACTTGGGGTGGCAGGAGGGGTGCGGGGGGATTGTGTACCAGGGCGGGAGTGTTTCTTTTACTTTTGAAGGAGAGGAGGGAACCGGGGGGCGGGGGTCATGGAGGGCTGGGCGGGGAGGGAAGTGCAGCAATGAATGAATGGAAATCCAAAATTTCTGTAAATGCTCATTAAAATTATTTTTTTTAAAAAGCTTAAAAAAACCAACAAAAAAAAAAAAAGAAAAGAAAAGTATCCTTGTGCGGGGAGAAGGGTGCAACAATGAATGAATGGAATTCCAAAATCTCTGTAGATGTTCAGTGAAATGAAAAATAAACAATCTAAATTTTAAAAAAAAGTCTGTATTCATAGTGGTAGGCTCCTCTGTAGTGTAGGGACCCTCTGGCGGGTGGGGTGGGGGGTAGGCATGCTTTCTGCAGATGGGCATCAACAGAGGAGGACGAGTATTTCTAAAGCTTGGGCACTTGCACCCTGGGCACACTAGCCTAGGGAGTCTATTGCTGTGTAGCTGTGGGGTAGTTTATAACAGCATTGCTAGGCACAAGAGAGGGCCATCTGATGGCAACCTGAAGCACACCCCTTCCAGACACATCACAAAGGAAGGAAGGGCAGGTGCTTTAATGCAGCAGTCATAAAGCAGTCTTCAGCTTATTAAGAAAGGACCTGCACACCCAATTAGAATCCACCTTACCTGTCTTCCCAAATCAGTAAAGGGGGAAGTGAGGGGAGTATCACTTTCCCTCCTTACGCTCAGACTGTCCTGTAAACCAGGGCTCAGTCTCAGAATGCAAAAATTAAATTCTGACCAATTGTGTGCCTCTTCCAAGTCCCATAGCCTGAGAAGTCATGAGAGTATTCACTTCCAAACCTGCTCTATTGCTCTTGGAATGACTGACAGCCCAGTACTTGGGGATTTTTTGTTTGTTTGTTTTGTTTTGTTTTGTTTTTTCTCAGTAACCATGTTGTTCACTGAAGCAGGTGCCATCGCTCCACTTTATTTGAGGAGGTGTGCTTGCAAGCAGTGGTAAATTTAGTGGAAGTTAGCATATTTCTGTGATGTTGAGCACATTTCAATGGAACTTCAGGCTAAGATGGATTAAGAAGTAAGGCCTGTCCTCAAACTTGACCTTGACTTCCCTCCTTGCCTTGCATTTAAGAGCAGGATCTCTGAAGACATCCTTGGAGACGTACAAGACAGGCAAAAACAAGTGGTTCTTCCAGAAGCTGAGATTTTAAATCTTCTACTTCAGTCATTAAAAAATACTCTCCCTCCTCCTGCAAAAAAAAAAAAAAAAGAAGGCCCGATAGTCTACTTTGAAAAGGTTCACAACTTCTTATGGGGTGGTGCCGCTTTTCACTCTTGGTCCTGGTAACTGTGAGGTGGAGGCTGACTCAGCAGCAGCTAAGAACAATGACAGCAACAACCTAACAGCAATATCAATACATTTCAGTCACAGTGACAAAACAATTCTTTATTAAACCCCCTGTAACCCTTTTCTCTTTTGCAGAGTGACTACTCAAGTGACACCGAGAGTGATGACAACTTTTTCATGATGCCCCCCAGGGACCACCTAGGGCTCAGTGTCTTCTCCATGCTCTGCTGCTTCTGGCCCTTGGGCATTGCTGCCTTCTACTTCTCCCATGAGGTAGGCTCCTGGTGAGTTGTTGGGGATTAGGGTGCCAGAGAAGCACTCTCATTATCTGTCATGAGGAGCAATATGTTCATACTTCCCTGTGTATGAAAAGGGTACCAAGGAAGAAGTTGAGGTCCTGAGGATACCCTGTATCTCAGCATGACTGACCGACCATCTTCCAGTGACAATCCTGGAGGGACTTCCTTAGAAATACAGAGAGAGGATAATGGACAGTAATAAAATAGAGGCTTATCCACCACAAACCAGCCTGTCATTCATCACCTTTGGGAGGAAAGCCGTCCCCCAGGCACCCATGACTCTAGCAGTTAAATCTCAAGCAGGGATTAGGCACCCAAGACAGGGATCCATAGGAAAACTATGAAGGGGAGAAAAAAAAAAAAGGAGACAAAAGTGGTTCTGACTTCCTTGTAAAATTTCCTTTATATATTTTACGTTATACTTGATTGGTAGCTTATGTATTGTTGGTGTCGTTATGTGCTACCACATTGACTGCAACTCATAGAGACCCTATACACAACGGCTCTATCCTGAGCCAGTTTCACCACCTCCAACACATCTATACCCATTATCTCAATTACTATATTAATCCATCTCATCCAGGGTCTCCCTCTCCTGTGCTGTTCCTCCACTGTTCCAAGCATGATGTCCTTTTCCAAGCACTGGTCCCTCCTGGCAACATTCTCAAAATATGTGAGACAAAGCTTTACAATCCTTGCCTCCAAGGAGCAACTTAGTTTCACCCTCTCAAGGACAGACCTGTTTGTTCTCATCAGTTCAGTACTCTTTGCCAGCACAACTTAAAGATATCAGTTCTCCTTAGTCATTAGATATCCTTAGTCATTGTCAAGCTCTCTGATTCATCACAAGTAATTGCAAAGACCATGGCCTGGATAGGACATACCTTAGTCTCTAAACTAACTTCATTGCTCCTTAGTATTCTGGAAAGGACCCTAACTGTGGATTTTCCCAATGCAGTTTGTCTTTTATTTTCCTGAATGCCAGTGTCAAGAGTGTTGATTGTGGGGCCAAGCAAGATGAAATTAACAATCTCAATCTCTTTTCCATCTATTGTGGTACTGCCAGTTGGTCCAGTGGTGAGAATCTTTGTGTTCTTGATGTTGAGCTTCAGTCCATATTGAATACTGCAGTCCTTGACCTTCTGAAGCAAGTGCTTCAGGTCTTCCTCAGTTTCAGCGAGCAAGATTGTGTCTTCTGTATAATGCAGATTATTCATGAATCTTCCTTCAATACTGATGTCACATTCCTCCTCATAAAGTCCAGCCTCCTGAATGTTCTGTTCCACATATAGATTGAAAAGGAGACAGGGTGCATCTCTGATACACTCCTTTCCTGATTTTGAACCACGAAGTATTTTCTTGCTCTGCTCTGATGACTGCTTCCTGGTCCAAGAACATAGTTTGCATTAGCACAATCAGGTGTTCTGGTATTTCCATTTTTTTCAAGGTTAGCCACAATTCTTTGTGGTCCACACAAATGTTTGTGCATAGTCCATGAAACACAGATAGACATCCTTCTGGTACTCTCTGCTTCCAGCCAAGATCTATCTAATGTTGGCTATGATTGTACCAGTGCCACAGCCTCTTTTATACCTAGCTTGTATTTCTGGTAGTTCTCTATCAGTGTACTGTTCTAGTCATTTTTGGATAATCTTCAGCAGGATCTTGCTTGCATGTGATATTAGTGATATTGTTTGATAATTTCTACACTCTGTTGGATCACCTTTTTTGGAAATGGATATAAATATGGATCTCTTCCAGTCAGTTGGCCAGGTAGCTTTAATTTTCTGCCAACAAAAATGGCCTCTTATTGTGTAATCATACCTCCCTTTCTTTCAGTGTAGGGACCTCTCCTTCTGTCAGCACCATGCATCCTTTTTGTTTTTCTTTCAAGGAATTAAGCTCAAGAGTTTTTCTTTAGCAAGTGAAGAGTATTCATTTGGAAGTAATATGTTTCCTAATTTAATTAATCAAAGAAAAACGTTTCTAATTGTCCATGAAGGTGGAGGTCATAACAATGGTGCAGGTGCAGGTTAGGACAAGATTCAGAACTATTATTGTTGGAGTTGCTGCAAACTTTAATGGACTTGAGAACAGCTAACAGACATCAAGGCATTCAGTTACTAGCATCATCAAGCCCTGCTGGTGTCCCAATCAGAACAGCATTGACGATGTCCCATTTGCTAACAAACCACCAAAGCCAGCTGGGCTTTCTGAAAGCTGTCAGGGATAACGGTGCTCCCATTCTAAGATTCTGGGTCTACCTGGAGGTCTCTTTTTGAAGAAGCTATTTTCTTGACATCAAAAAAGACCCTTTTCTAGCCAATTGGCAGTCTCTTGTTGCTGCTTCCTGGTTTCTGTATTAAGTCAGTTTCACTTGGTTAGGAAAATCTTAGGCATTTTTCTTGAGGAAATGTGCTTCTGGTCCCTCCTTCTCCTGGCACACAAGGTCTCCCTGTTCATGGAGAAGCTGGGCTCTTCTGGGATTGATGTTCCTCAGAGGGGAATCCAAGGGTGCCACTCAGGTGGGGTGAGAAGGGATGAAGGCTGCTCAGTGGTGGGCAGTCCCAATCCCAGGGAACAGTGGGGGTAATGAAGGAAAGCCTCCAATGCTGAGCTGGAGTGGACAGTATTTCATGTCCCAGTATTGGCCTCGAGGGCTTGCCCAAGTTTCCTTTTGTGAATATGTGAGATCATAGCAGAAAGCAAAAATTAGCCTTCAAGTCTGGCCAAATGTGGGTAGCTGTGGAAGGATCAAGTGAGTAGATCTAAACCAAAATTTCAGCCTGAGGGTCTGGGAATATATGTGGCCCTGGAAATACCGTATGGTGCACAGATCATGCTCTGTGGAAGACTCACATAGGCTTAGAGCTGCCTACCTTCTGTGTGAATAGCAAATCAGAGTATAGGCTGGAAAAAAGAAATTGCCATGTGACTCCCAGCATGTGAGAGGGTTTTAATAGCTGATATTTCCAGAGTTCATCACAGACCTTTCCGTGACACCTGAAGGTGGACTAAAGTCTTCTGATTAGCAGCCAATCATGTTAACCATCTTCACCACCCAAGGCAACAAAAACCTACAACATGAAGCCAGGAGTCCCTTGCCCACGCAGAAAGGGAAGGCCCACAGCATGGAGATGAGATATGTGCTTCCCAGACACCTGAGATATGTGTTCGCTCTGAGAACTCTGTCTCTTGCTTTCTTGTTCACCCACAGCTCCCGCAGGAGAGATCAACATACTGAGGCAACCTTTTGGCAAGGAAGAGCACTAACATTACAACTATATTTTGATGAGCAAATTTTATCTGCAATGATATTTTTGTCTTAGAGTCTATAGGTCAATCATTGAGTATTCCATGAAATGATGTAGGCCTTGGACATAGGAAAATAGGATCTGTGTAGAAAAGTGGTCCTCAGCCAATGGAGTGATGATGGCACAAAGCTTTTCCTGTCTCTGCAGGTACACCTGTTGGTTGAAGTCCTGTGTCTATAACCGTGCATTCTATCATGTCATCCAAAAAGAAATAATTTTAATAAAAGCCAGCACTGTGAAGCCACGTAGTCTTGATTCTCTTTCTTTGTAAGCAGTTTTATTCTTAACCCTGGAAGAGCTGTTCAGACTCCCCAGGTGTCTCATGGCTTTGATGTTGAAGAGGACTTTGGTCATTTGCTTACCAGTGATCACACATGCCATTACAGTTAGAGCCTCTGATCACATTTCTCAGAAGTGAGTGCAGACATGCTGAGGGAATAGCTCCAGCCATTTGGAACAAGAAGAGAGGATCTCTGGAGTCCAATACTGAAGTCCCCTTCTTCATTATCTGCCCCGAAGGTGTCCCTAAGAGAAAGCATGACAAAACAGAGAAGCTAACGTTATGTGGAAGCCTTTGTAGGTGGGTGCCTATGGAAGATGTGTCTGCATCACACATACACACCATCGTGACAGCTGTGTGCATGACGCACTTATACAGAGCTGGCAAAGTGAAAGCCATTATTATTTACAGAAAGCAAACAATAATAAGTTCTCAAAGGGAAACATCGTTCTTCAAGTTACCCATGTCCATTCTTATACAGGGAACTCTTCTGGCATAGTGGTACAGAGCTGCGCTGCTAATGTGAAATCACGTGGGTGGAATCCATCAGCTGCTACACAGAAGGGTGAGCAATCTCATCCTGTGTGATTTACTGCCTCTAAAAGCTCACTGGAGTGTCCACTCTGTGTTGGTTCTGACTCAACATTGTTGTTGTTAAGTGCCGTCAAGTCACAGGTCATAGCGACCCTATGAAGAAGAGTCCTCGATGCTTGAGTGCCTTTCATCCTTTCTCCAGGTTCATAGAGTTTCCGGAGGCAAGCTATTATGGAAATGGATGCCACTCCTCCTTCCAAGTTTGTTTTAATCGGGGTGCTCATTACATAACAATAATATTCTTGTATAAAAAGGCAGACGTGCTGTGATTAAGGCTGGATAATGTATTCCCATCACTGCTGCCTCTGGCTACTACCACGCTGCTGTGGGGCAGGGAACCTATATGGCTCTTGAGATCTACATTGGCCTGGCCTTGCTGTGGGAAGAGCCTACATAGGACCTTCTCATACATCACAGGTCTCTCATGTGTCTAGGCTTCTGCCATACTGCTAGGCTTTCCCCCCCCTCCACCCTCTTTCTTGCCTCCAACCAAGCCTGTGCCACCTGAAGACCCAGCTGGACCTGCCATACCATACAAGGTTCAGGGCACCTCAATCCCTTCTGCCTTCCATGGGCAAGTATTTCAGCTCTTTTAGCTCCTCCGGCAGGTGCCTAGTGCAAGACTCTTGAATAAAGGCATTCAGCTCTCTCCGACAACAACTGTCTCCTGTGCCCGCAAACCCACTGGAGCCTTTTCTGGTCTTCTGATTCACGCCATTTGTGCGTTATCTCTTCTGTGCGTGTACTGTTTTTCTCTACCCTGCACCGTCTTCAACATTATAGCTC